AGTGCTAACCATTTATCCACTGTGCTGCCCATTTCATTTGTATTATAATTGTACTGTTTGCCCTTATGTTGTAAAACACTGCAAAAACTGTTGGCGCTATATAAATCCTGTATAATAATAATATGTTAATAAATCCTCTTCTTGGTGTACCCGTGACTGCAGGATGCGCTGGGAGCCACCAGCGCAGCCCGGAACATCGGCTTTACACCTGACTATTGCCTTTACATTTCGGACCATTGCGGACAAACTACATAGGACAAGTATCCTCTTTTTACCTCCAGCTTGCGAGTTGTTATACTGCACGCGAATATATGATTGTATACATTGCTGCACTTAGATCCCGCCTTCTTTCTCTTATCTTTCATATTCAGATATAAACGGCGGGTAAATCTAGCCATACATTCAATGTGGATGATGGGATCATCCCTACTGTGTCAATATATTCTTACAGTGGGGCTCCCTCTCCATCAGAATACATTGATCAGCGTTGCAGTTGATTGACTGCAATCGACTTCCAATGAACAGGAATGGCGTAACATCGGCTTTACACCTGAGTATTGCCTTTACATTTCGGACCATTGTGGACGAACTACATAGGACAAGTGTCTTTTTTTTACCTCAGCTTGCGAGTTGTTATACCACACGGGAATAAATGATTGTATGTATTGCTGCACTTAGATCCCGCCTTCTTTCTCTTATCTTTCAAATTCAGCTATAAACAGCAGCTAAATCTAGCCATACATTCAATGTGGTGAATGGGATCATCCCTGCTGTGTCAATATATTCTTACAGTAGGGCTCCCCCGCCATCAGAATACATTGATCAGCGTTGCAGTTGATTGGCTGCAATCGACTTCCAATGAACAGGAATGGCAGAACATCGGCTTTACACCTGAGTATTGCCTTTACATTTCGGACCATTGTGGACGAACTACATAGGACAAGTGTCTTCTTTTTACCTCCATCTTGCGAGTTGTTATACCACACAGGAATAAATGATTGTATACATTGCTGCAGTTAGATGCCGCCTTCTTTCTCTTATCTTTCAAATTAAGATATAAACAGCGGCTAAATCTAGCCATACATTTGACGTGGACGATGGGATCATCCCTTCTGTGTCAATATATTCTTACAGTGGGGCTCCCCCGCCATCAGAATACATTGACCAGCGTTGCAGTTGGCTGCAATTGACTTCCAACAAACAGGAATGGCCATAGATGGATCGAAATGTGGCTGGTTCCTGATGAACTGGTCAATTTGTGATCTATGTTTGGAAAGCTTTAGATGATATTGTATTCGGTAGGAGGGGGGAGTCACAGCATGAAAACGTCTAAACAAAAGAGTTCATCTTTTATTCTTGAACTTCCAAGGCCCTCTAGCAGAAAGAGAAATGAAGATTTTGGTTTTATTACTGCAAAGGATAGATGGGTTTAGTTCTTCTTTAAAGCACAACTCTGGGCACAAAAAAAAAATATATTTGCAGTGAGGACATCTACGCTGCAAGGGTTAAATTCTTGCCTTGTTAAGAGGCGACAACATAAACTGAAATGATAACCTTATTATTTGATCCAGCAGTGTGAGCTGACTCCGGCAGCCTCCTCTCTAAGCGACTCACAGCTATGATTGCATGCTTACCCCCACTATCTACAATGCAGGTTAGTTACCCTGCATTATACGTGTAGCACTACTCCCCTAGGAGAGCTGAATAATTGGGTCCCCCTATAGTCCTGCACAGCCAGGCAACACGCATTTCCTTGGGGGTCTTTTGGATTTTATTAGTGGAATTAAACTTGGATGGGGATGGGATGGTGAGATGCCAGAGGAACTGTTAAAATGGAGGACAACTTCTTGAAACTATGTAAGTGCTCAGAAGGGTTTCTTTTCCTTGGAGTGCTATCCAGCCTCTCCTGGCATACCACCCTAAACCCCAGATAGTTTTCCTCTATCCAGCTGTCTGGAGGAATCCCTGGACAGGGGGACCTGGATTATGTCTTTTTAATGTACAGTCCAGCTGGGGGCTAGTTAGGTTTCCCACCCAAATGCCCTCTCCCCTATTACAGTTTAGGTGGTGTAGAAGTACTTATTGTCCCTCTTCTGCAAGGTGCAGTTGGTAGCTGCCTTAAGGCCTTCTGCTGGGCTGGCTCCTTCCTTAGCACCACAGATGGTCTTCTCTCAGGGGGCTGGTGAGGTTCAGTTTTCCCTCTCTCCTGACCCTTCCTGGAGGCAGGCCCCTTCCCTGGGCCTCCTCCAGGCTTCAGACTCCTCTCCTGTTCTCACATGTTCCACCCAAACTCTCCTGCCACTGAGCAGGCTCACCAATGCTTAAAGGCTGTCTCAACCCCTGCAAAGTCTCCTGCCTGGGGATTGGTTGGGGTCCCTTAAACATACAGATCAGCCACTCCTCACTCCCGCCCACTGAGTTCCAGAGACTTCTCCAAGTCTCTAGATCGGGGAGGTATCATAGAGCTGATCTTCAGAGCCTCTCAGCCTTGACCCAAATTTGACCCCCCTCTGACTATTCTCCCTGGCTGCTAATCAGCCTTCTATCTACAAAAAAATTAAACTAGCTCCCCCTAGCTATCTAGGAGGGTGCTACATATGAGATGATGCCTAGGGACCACTCACAGACCGGAACTTCAGGAAGGACAGGGTAGCGTCAGAGCTGGCATGACTAGGAGAGAGAGTAAGCAATAATGCCTGTTCCTCTACCCCCTAGACATAACGAGCAGTTAACCCTTGCTCTGCATAGGTAGTTTCTGGGAGTTGAGCTTTAACATAAAAAATAACTGAACTCAGTAATGTGTACAGTGAAGGTAACATTCTGTGAAATACCAGATTCATTCTTAAAAGGAGCCTGACAGAAATACAAAGGCTACCATTGTTGACCTTCTCAGAATGCTAGTTGTCTGACAGTCATGGTAAATTTATTATTTCAGTATTTTCTTGCATAAACTGGTGTAAAACAAGCAGTCAGGCAGCGAAGTCAGAAATGTTTATTTGCATATTTGCTCTGACTCAGTGACTCAATGATGCAGCCATTACAACAACCTGACAGGCAGGCAACTATCATCATCAGTAAAAAAGATTAAAGGTGACAGGCTTTATATTTTTCTAAGCACAGATTTTCATCAGCCCATTCATTTGAATGGGCTGCTGAAGATTTTTTTCTTTTCCTTTTAGTGTGTTCTTTTGTAAAAATTTCAAAATTAAAAATGGCTGCCAGGTCCACTATAAAGTGTAAGTCTTGGCAAAAAAAAAAAAAAAACATATTCAGTACAGCTTTCCATTATATGAAAATGCACGTACAATACATGCTCTGTGTTTTGGCTCTTTAAAATTGCTGCAAATACAGAACAATGCTTGTTGATCTTGCCAGAAATCCAGTGTGCCCTGCCTCTGCTGCACTGAATTCTCAAGAAGTGTTTTATAGCCCTGCTGAAGTCAGCTCTGTGACAGAATCACCACGTTTTCAGTTTGCCAGGCCCCATTATCATCACATAGAGAAATTAGGACCTCCTTCCTCCAGCTTGTGAGCCCCTCCCCTCTTTTTTGGGGGGTGAGAGTGGCATTTTATTTCAGGTGTGGTGTCTTCCAGTTTTATTTCTTTTCGAGGTTTCTTTATTTTATATTTTGATAGGGTCTTTTTTTAAGTGCTGGAGACACAGCATAATTTTTGCTGCTAATCTGCTTTTGGTAGCTGCCTTTTGTTTGCAGCACACTACTGCATTTTTTAAAAGTAAAAAGAAAAAAAATCAAAACTAGGATGTTGGCAGGTTCTGTCTATATTCTCCACTTCAAGTGGAACTCAAATGTAGTGTCAGTGCAGCTGGGAGAGAAATTTGAGAGAAACTGGGTTTCTCTATGGTTTCCTTAGCCACCTGGATCAGTGATCTGTTTGGATGTGCTGGAGCTAGGTGACTCCGACGGCCATCTTGGGTCAAGCAGAGTCTTTTTAAATCCCTGGCCTGTGTTATGGTGTGCTTTATGCAAGTGGCTAGTGTCGGGACAGGTCACTCTTCTGTCAGGGACAGCACTAGCAGTAGAGAAAGATTCTGGTGGAGTAGGGTAAGAGTAGGGACTATGCTACCTTCTCAGGATGTTTATCCATGGGGTTGGACCAGACAGGCCGCCCTCCCCTCCTCATGGCAGAGGCTGTCGGCAGCTCAGAATCTACACACCTCTGTCTCTGCTCTGAACTGTTGTAAGTGCCCCAGTCAGATGAACCTCCCGTCGGGTCTGTTTGTACTGTTTTACTATTTCTGCAATGGTAAATCAGGACTACTGTCCAGCACACCAAGCTGCACCAACTCAACAAAGAGCAAAATCAGTGTGCACCAAAATCACGGAACTCTATTACATATATTTACTACAGTACATCCCCCTTTCTTCATAGTACAAAAAGGCCTATTCTCTCTGATTAAAACTGTCCTGCTTCTGGCTGATTTTACATTGGTGTATCCTTTACAGTCTTTTAATTCTTGTAGTAAATGCATCTAGTGTTCTTTATCTTTAAAACATTTAGGTCCCAGCCTTGTTCTTTAACCTCTTCCTGTCTACCAATAGTCTATAGACGGTGGACAGGTAGCTTTGCCAATGCTCATGTACCTCTATGTCAGCTCTCACCAGTGGCTCTTGCACGGCTCCTGAGCACCAGGGAGCCCAGTGATCGGTACGTTGCCTGGTCACAGTAGATCAAATTACCGCCATGTCCAGGCAATCACATGGTGTTTTATCATGTGATTGCTGTGTCCAATCACAGCAATCTCATAGTAAACACAGTAACTGAAACTAAAGATCACTTCTCTCTGCTGTCACTGTGAGAACAGAGTGAAGCAATTCTGCAGCCTGTAAGTGTACAGCAGCCTGTCAGGTTGCTTGTATACTCACAGACTGCAGTGCCATCCAGTCCAAATGTCCCTGATCATTGACTCTGTGTCCCTGATCACTAACCCAGTGTAGGGACAGAAAACAATGCAGCCAGCCCTGTCACTTGTCCCAGTGCTCACAAAAGCACCACCATACCAATATCCTGATCACCGCCATACCCCACACCAGCATCCTGATCACCACCATACCCCATACCAATGCCCTGATCATTGCCATATGCCATACCAGCATCCTGATCACTGACATACGCCATACCAGCACCCTGATCACCGTCATGCGCCATACCAGCACCCTGATCACAGCCATACCCCATACCAACACCCTGATCACTGCCATACCCCATGCCAACACCCTGATCACTGCCATATGCCATACCAGCACCCTGATCACTGCCATACCATCACCCTTATCACCACCATATGCCATACCAGCATCCTAATCCCTGCCATACCCATACCTGTAATCTGATCACCCCATTCGCCAAACCAGAATCCTGAAACACTGCCATGCCCCATACTAGCATCCTACTTACTGCCATACTCATACCAGCATCTTGGTCACCCAATATGCTATACCTGCGTCCTTATTACCACCATACCCCATACCAACGTCCTGATCACTGCCGTACCAGTGTTTTATAATCACTGCTATGCCCCATACCAGCATCCTGATCACCGCCATACCAGCATCCTAATCATTGGCGTTCCAGCATCCTAATCACTGCCATACTTCATGCTAATGTCCTGATCACCACCATACTCCATACCAGTGTCATGATGACTGCCATACATCATACCAGCATCCGGCATTTTAGGGTTTCAACTGATTTTTAGATATATATCCCATAGTTTGTAGACCCCATAGCTTTCACACAGACTACATAATTTACACTGTATTGGGTTATTTGTACCCCAGAAATGTAACAGAATACATTTTGGCCTAAATTTATGAATAAAAATTATTTATTTGCAAAATTTTATAACAAAACTAAGCAAAAAATGACTTTTTCCAAAATTTTCAGTCTTTTTTCATTTATATAGCAAAAAATAAAAAAAAAACAGTGGTGATCAAATACCAACAAAAAATCTCTATCTGTCTCAAAAAAAGATAAAAATTTCATATGAGCACAGTATTGCATGACTTAGTAAATGTCAACCAAAGAGTGATAGTGCTGAAAGTTGAAAACTGACCTGGACTAGAAGGGAGTGAACGTGTCTTAGTGGTTAAAATTGTCCTGCTGTTCAATTTTTCACTGCTGTACACTCTATTACCATCTTTTAATTTTTGTAGTAAAACTAAATCACTTCTGCCTAGCAGTTTGCATGTTCTCCCTGTGCCTGCGTGGGTTTCCTCCAGGTACTTTGGTCTCCTCCCACACTCCAAAGACATGCTGGTAGGTTAATTGATTCCTGTCTAAATTGATTCTAGTATGTATGAATGTGAGTTAGGGACCTTAGATTGTATGCTCCTTGAGGGTTAGGGACTGATGTGAGTGTACAATATATATGTAAAGCGCTGCGTAAATTGACAGCGCTGTATGAGTACTTGTAATAATAATAAAGCACCTACCTGTACTCTTTACTGTTAGTACATTTCAGCTAATTCTCCATCATAGAAGAGTCCTGCTGCTGGCCAGTTTTACACTACTGTGTCATATATGGCTTCTTAATTCTTGCAGGAAAGCACATTTCTATATTATTTGTTTCTTGTACATTTCAGCCACTTCTCCCTGAAGATGACCTGTTGCTGGCCAATTTTACATTGCTGTATCATCTGAGGTATCTTGATTATTATTGAGTTTAAGAGAAATTGGCCAGCAGCAGGACAGTTTTGCATCATCAATAACAGGGACAGCCTAACTAAACTACTGGTTGATTCCTTTTTGCTGATCAAAATGAGCAAAACATCTAATTGCAGCAGTACTCATAGCAGTGACAATAGTAGTAAGAGGTCCTTGTAACTCTCTATATATGTATATTAATGGTGTAAAAATATATAAAGTTTAATCCCAGAGACAGAGAATGTTTATCCAGAAATGCAGTTTAGGTGGCCAGTAAAGGTAGAGAAGCAAACGTGGCCCCACCCTTCTTGGACCAGACCAGGCCAAATGACTTTCAACATTGAGAGGATTATTTCAAGAGGTGGAGGGGAAGCCTCTGCTCCCATACTAAGTACCCTTGTTGAGGGACAAGGACCTTTTTTCTCATGTTTATAAAAATTCACTGTTTGTTGTCACCCCAGATTCCCATCTACCACTTTACATTACAGCAGCCAGGAACTTGTCATGTAGTGATGGGAGTGCAGCATGTACACATCAACTGGCAATGGGTCATTGTGATTGATGCCAAATTTACAACACTGAATGAAGTAATTAACATGGATTACATCGCTTGACATCATGATTGGGTGAAGATGTGGGGGTGACAAGCTCAGGGGTGGCAGCCCTGGATGACACTGCTATCCCTAACAGTCGAGAGGGCAGACCATCTGGGAGGGGTGGTGAGAGTAGTGCAGGAAGGCCTAGACAGTTGGTGGTAATAGGGGATTCTATAATCAGAAGGACTGATAGAATAATTTGTCACCAGGATCGCCTCAACCGCATGGTTTGCTGTCTCCCTGGTGCCGGCATGAGGTGGACCGGGTTGATAAATTACTGAGAGCGGCTGGGCATTACCCAGCTGTCTTGGTCCAGGTTGGAATCAATAACAGAATACATAGAAGGTGGAGGATCCTTAAGAATCAATTTAAAGAACTAGGCTGCAAGTTGAAGGGAAGGACCTCCAAGGTGATATTCGCTGAAATATTACCTGTGCCATGCGCAACTCAGAAAAGACAGGGGGAGATTAGAGAACTAAATGCATGGCCAAAGACCTGGTGTCAGAGGGAATGATTTGTGTTTTTAGACCACTGGGCTGACTTTTCATTAGGGTGCAACCTATATGTTAGAGATGGTTTGCACCTAAATGGAAGAGGGTCCTGCTGTGCTGGAGGAGAGGTTTATGGGACGGCTGAAGGAGTATTTAAACTAGGATCAAGCGGGAGGAAAATTAGATTATAATGGAGCAGACAGATCAGACAGAGGGCAGCCCTTATTGATGGGTGGAATGGGGAAAGATGGGGGGAGGACTATGGCAGGTGATAAGAAGGTGCCCATGTTACAAATAACCATTGAAATTGGTATCATTTGTACGAAAATTAAAATATGCAAAATACATGTGCAAAAGGTGTCAATGAATTAAAGTGTTTGTGCATCAATGCCAGAAGTCTGCCAAGCAAAATAGGTGAGTTGGAAGCTTTGGTGCATGAAGAGAACTATGATTTAAGTGAATCTTAGCTTCATTTTTCACATGAATGGGCCATTAATATTACTGGCTATGTTCTCTTTTGGAGAGACAGGGTAAAAAGGAAAAGTGGTGGTGTCTGTCTTTATGTGAGAAGTGATCTCAGAGCAAGTGTGAAAGAGGACCTAGTTGATAGAAAGTGTGATGAGGCTGAAGCATTATGGGTGAAACTGCACATGGGGGTACATATTACAAAGGTAATCGCAGGAGTTTGTTATAGGCCACCCAGTGGTAATGAGAAGGTGGAGACTCAGCTCCTTGCACATATTGAAAGGGTTGCAAGGGCTGGGACAGTGATAATAATGGGGGATTTTAACTACCTGGAAATAGACTAGAGTAATGGCACTGCATTAACAATTAAAGGGCAAAAATTTATAAACCTGTTACAGTTAATAGAGGCCCCAACTAGGAATGGTGCTCTGCTGGATCTGGTCATCTCAAAGCATGCAGAGCTTATTATTATTGTCCATATAAAAGAACATCTGTGTAGCAGTGACCATAACATGATTTCATTTATTGTTAGCTGTAAACAAGCACATACTGGAAAAATAAAAACACTCAACTTTAAGAGAGGTAATTTTCCAAGGCTGCTCTCCCAAACTTAGAATGGGAGGGAATATTTACATCGATGAACACAACACAGAAATGGGAGTTCTTCAAAAAGACAATATGTGAACACACTGCAAAATATATTCCCATGGGCAAAAAATGTAAAAGGCTAATAATCAAATCTATGTGGCTTACAGCCAAAGTTAAAAAATCTATAAATAATAAGAAAAGAGCTTTTATTAAATATAAAAATGAAGGAACGCTATCATAATTTAAACATTAAAAAAGAATACTGTATAACAGAATATGTAAAAAGGAAATCAAGGTCACAAAAATTGAAAACAAACAACAGATTGCAAAAGATTGTAGGACACACCCCAAAACATTCTTCAAATATATTAATAGTAAACATTTCAGGTCCGAGCATGTAGGCCCTTTATAAAATAATTTAGAGTGGGTGATTGGGGACAAAGAGAAGGCAAATGTATTAAATACCTTCTTCAGCTCTGTGTATACAAAGGAGTATGGGGGAGTTCTTGTCCATAATGGGAATGATATTGACACAGCCCCAGATGATCCACATTGGCTCACAATTGATATGATCCAGAATTATTTAGATAGAAAAAAGGTGAATAAAGCACCTGGACCGGATGGCATACACCCACGGGTCATTAAAAAATTGAGCTTTGTCATTGCAAAGCTATTGTTTCTCATTTTAGGGAATCTTTAATGACTGGCATAGTACCACTGGATTGGCGTAAGGTCAATGTGGTGCCTATATTTAAAAATGGATAAAAATCTTTACCAAGTAATTATAGACCTGTTAGTTTAACATCTATAGCTGGGAAGATACTGGAGAGTTTAATAAAAGACCACATAGATTATTTTTTTGCTGGAAAAAATATTTTAAGCAACAGACAGCATGGATTCATGAAAGACAGAAGTTGTAAAACAAATCTGATTTCTTTTTATGAGAAGGTGAGCAAAACCTTGGACAGAGGGGTAGCTGTGGAATGGTATACTTGGATTTTGCAAAAGTGTTTGACACAGTTCCCCACACATGGCTAATGTGTAAGGTAAAGTCTAAAGACTTGGGAAAATCAGTATGTAAATTGATAGAAAACTGACTAAAAGAACATATTCAGAGAGTAGTGGTTAATGATTCATGCTCTGCATGGTCTAGGGTTGTCAGTGGTGTTACTTTTTAATATATTTATAAACTATATAGGCTCTGGGATTAAAAATACCATTTCAGTCTTTACAGATGACACCAAGCTTTGCAGTGGAATAACTTCCTTACAGGATGTCTCCAACTTACAAGCCGACTTCAATGCACTGTTTAATTGGGCAGCTATGTGGCAAATGAGGTTTAATGTTGATAAATGTAAGGTTATGCACTTGGGGGTTAAGAATATGCCTGCATCAGGGACTGACAATTCATGGGGCCCCCGGGCTATAGGGGATCATGGGGCCCCTGTGTCCTTGCTCAAATCAAAGCACACCCAAAAAAAGCCTATATAAAAGCTACTAGGTGCATTTCATGGGGCCCCCTACTGACCCCGGCCCCTTGGGCATTGCCCGAGTGCTCCAATGGTCAGTCCGCCCCTGGCCTACATCATACATACTAGGGGGTGTACAACTGGGGGAATCAATGGTGGAGAAGGATCTGGGAACTCTGATAGATCATAAGCTTAATAATGGCATGCAATGACAAGCTGCAGTTTTTAAAATTGTCCCCCCCTCTATTGTACAGCGCTGAGCAAACCCTTTGGTGCTATATAAACTTGATGTAAT